CACGATCGAGCTCGCCGCCTCCCCATGTTGTCGGAGTCGTCGGATCACTGCAGGTGTGCGGCAAAGCTCAATTGCACTCCCATCTTCGAACGAAACCGCTATGGTGTAGTGTGCATGTGTTGGCAATGAGGCTTCTGACACATACGCTGCGGATACTTCAGCGTAAATGGAGGATGATGCTACTTACCGTCCGCAGTGCCTCCAAGTCTGTCATGATGTCCGAGTCTGCGATACCTACTAACGGTATCGACTGGTTCAGTCATACTGTGCTGGGTCACGCACACAGTAAGCGTCTGCATGCAATCCGAGGAAAGGTACACTGTAGAGCAGAAGCAGCGACTCGAGATGCGCAAGTACGACGACGTGGAACAAAACGAGTCGGGTAGAACAAGCAGGCAGTTGAATCCGAGCCACGGTTAGTGTGTATCGAGAACATGCAAGACCAGAGCATTCAGACTCAAGAAGCATGAACCGCGAAGTCGGACCACAGTCCTGGTCTATATAGCACGGTGAACCAGAGAGGTGAGTGTTACATCGATGCGAGCCTCTGTACGCTCATGGACAAGCTCGTATTCGCTGCCGTCGGTAGTAAGTGTCGATCTGTGCATGGCTTCATAGACCAGCACGAAAGGTCTCAGTAAGTGCTGTGCATACGAACACTGTTCCGCTCCTTGCGCGACCTGGCCGTACAGCCTGGTATGGCACCGACTCGTTTCGATTCAAACCCGGGCCCTCAGGCTGAATGAGGATCGTACCGAATGACCTTCCGGCGCACCGATCCGCAAAGTAAAGGAGGTTCAGTGAAGATTGAAGCGGCTCATTGGTGGCCGCGTTGCGTATTCATGGAGTCCTCAGGTCTTACAAGCTCGCAAGACTGAACAGCGGTAAGTTAGCCGTCCCGCCTCGACTGGCTCAATGTTCAATGTGTCGCGACTGACTCTACAGCTTCCACAAGATACGTAGCTCGTATCATTGGTGTGTGAGGGCTGGAGGGATGATGTATAGGTATGCAGTCCCTTTGGTCGCGACCCGCGGCCTGTTTCATGGTCTCGCTAATTCTCGAATGCTTGTACTTAGGCCCTGTTGCCCTTGCCACTCGCAGCACGAACGAGATTGGTCACTCGGTGTTCATTCGGATTGGTCTCGTGGACCTATCGTCTGCGAGGAAGGTAGTGCGGGGAACACGCGAACACCGACATATAATACTATCTTGAGTAGATCGCCTGAACCCCCTATTAGTTGCTTATTGACACTCGCCCTTTCCCCGCTCTGTGCCTCTGTAAGTCTGTCCTACGGTCCTCGATGGCTCTGTCAACGTGGTCCACACCAATTGGTTGCGTCCACCGCGGGACCCATCCGCACAGTGGAGGGGACCCGGTTTCGAAGCAGTTTGAGTCGGGCATGCGAGTAACCGAGTAACGACGATGTCGCACTCCCCATTCCGCTCACGTCGATTCCTGACCTCCACCGCTCTGCAGGGTCTCGCCTCGACTCTCACTCCGACGGCGCTCAATCAATCGACTGGCCGCCAGCGAGCTTCACACCTCAAGTCCTCTATGAGCAGCCGGTTCACCGCGTTGCCCGACGAGATGTCGCTGGTGGGATACCATCGAGTGAGTGGCATCTCAATCTCGTCCGACGATACGATGTGCTGTAATCTTCGAGCAGGCGTGTCTCGACACTCGGCCAAAATGTCTGACCAAGTGCACGGCGCGCAGGTGCGTCATTCGTTCCACGTCGCGTCGTCTGTCACCCGGCTACGAGACCTCCGAGACGAGCCTGCTCGCGTATATTCACCGACGTCCGCAGAACGAACGAGCTCGGCAGTTCGACGAGATGTTCACAGAGCCGACGGCTGAAAGGCCGTGTCTGCGCGAGCCTCGAGAAGTGCAGACCTTCGTTCCGTCGCTGCCTGTGCGCGTTCATACCACGGACGGCGGCGTCGAGGCTGCGACAGTTCTGACCATCGTTTGCGATCCATATCCACCATGTAGAGCAACTCAAATATATCTATTCCTCGAGACTACGTACATGCTCTCTGTACCTACTTCGAGCAGCGAGCACGACGTGCCACACGTCGTCCGCCACGGCAACCGTCGTCTGCGCAGCGGGGATCGCACCGGTGCACAGGCAGTCGTGCACACAGACACTGTGCCGGCGTCGACGTACGTACGTCGTCGCGCGGCGCGTTTCCACCGTAGTATCGCATTCGCGCAGTGCCGTCCGGGTGCTCTGCGTCTGCGCCCGCCGTCAGGCTCCCGCACCATAGCCCCTGCCTCGCATCCTCCCCGAGCCGTCACACTGCACCCTCCAGCTCACTGAACGACAGAAGCATCAGCGCCAGAGACACCACGACGGTACTCACCTCGCTCATCCCCGTGGCGCGAGGGACGGTCTTGTCGACGAGCAGGCTGAGGGCGATTCGCCGACGGGAGGAGGGAAGAGGCCGGGCGGCGAGACGTCCCGCCAGTGCTCGCTTGCATGAACGGCTCGGAAGACTTGCTTCGCGGACTGGACGCGACGAGAGGCTGTCGTGCCAAATGGAAGAATGCCCGAGCATCTCGTACGACGCTGCAGTCCGTCCCGATCGCATTCCCCCGAGTAGCATGCGTCGCAGCGCACTGCGTGTATCGTTCGCCGAAGAGATGCAGGCCGGACAGGCACGTCCTTGCGCCGTCGTCTTGCGGGCTGCGCGGCGGGCGAACCCGAGCCAACTCATCCCGACACACGAGGCAGTCGCGTACGCCCCGCAAAGCATCCTCCTGGATCCGTCCGTCAACGAAGAACGTCCACGGACCCTGCCCGATCAACGCGCAGGTACCACACGCGCGGGCCATCGAGCATGGGCCCGAACGTCGGCGTCGGTGGCACGGACGAGGCTGGCCATCCATGCCAAGTGGCACCGTGCTCGCTTCCGCGGACGTCGTGCCTCGGAAAGGCGGCGGCGACTTGGTCGCTGTCATCGTGCGAGGTATAAGACCGAGAGCTGCGGGTGATACGAGGCATCGGTGAGTTGCGTGTCCGACCGAGTCGAATGGGCGAGTACTAACTTCCTGGTCGCAGCAGACGCGCTCGCCGAGTGAGCGTGCGTTGGCGATGGGCTGCGTGTGCGGGACGTCGTGCACGGTGTCGGGTCATGGGTGAAGGTAAGTTGTTTCCTTGCGTATCAGGCGGTCTTGGAGTGTGCTGACGACGGGTGACCTGCAGAGCATCCTTGCGAGCCGTTTGTCGGCGCGTGGGTCAGGAAGACTCGCGGCTTGCGAGCGTCGTCGACGGCTGCGAATCGTGGAGAGCGGGAAGGAACGGCGCGCCGCACGATCGCTCGACGGGCGCGAATCCATCCGGGTCTGGAGCAGTGAGCACACGTGTCTTGTAGTTGGGGAGTAGACGTACGTACGTAGACTCGCACAGGACGGTTGTGATGCATTTGGGCGCGCCGGCTGCACGTCGAAAGAGGAGTGCATTGCCGGGCCACTGCGGCCACTGCAGCTGCAGGCGGGCAGAGGAACGGGGGCCGTCGTCGTCGCGCACGACATTTTGACAGCTGACGCGTTGCTGACGCGCCGTCTTCCCTACCCGTGCGAGCGGGAGACCGTCACGGGTGTCGCATGGTTGTTGCCTGGTGCTGTCGCGTGTGATGAGAGCGTGGAGTGTGGGTCGTCGTCGGCAGTCCGCAAGACGGTACGGGCGCGTGTACCACCGCACAGATGAATGAATGTCGTCTCGTGCGTTGCACGGGCAGGACGGTGTTATGAGTGAGCGTACCGCGGCCCGGGGTGGAGTTGCACGCATGGCGGATGATTGCGGCGACGTGCACGGGCGAAGAATGGGTGCTGGGTGCTGGTGGTTGCTGGCGCGAGACGCCGAAAGGCTGCGGGTCGCACGTAGACTCGGCAGAGCGTGCGGGGGAGGCTGACGGGCGCTTGTTTGGCGGTGCTGCAGAGAACGGTGTGTAGCGAGCGATCCGGTGCACAAAGTCGCGCCCAACAAGTGGGGAGAGAGGATGGCACGATGCGTGAGCGTCGCGCGGAGGTGCGCAGGTAGAGAAGTGCGGGCGGGTTCGGGGCGGGGGAAGGCGGAAGCAAGTCGGAGAGAGAGCTTGAGAGATGAGTGTTGTGGATGAATGCGTGCGATCCGGGAAGAAAAGGTGAAGACGGACCTCTGTGCTTGGCAACGAGCGGAAACGGTGCGTTGTGGGTACCGGCGGACGCGTCTCGGGCGGGCGGATGCAGCGAGGACAACAGCAGGTGTGGCAGGTGCGAGCGGAAGGGGCGGGAGAGCGAGAGACGCGGCGAGGGCGAGAGACGCGGCGGAGGGTCAGAGAAGAGGAGGGTCGGAGAACAGCAGCAAGCGGACGAGACGCGACGGTGCTGGCAAGGGACGCGCAGCAGCAGCGAGGACGGGACGGCAGCATGCATTGGCGAGGACGGCGGCGCCAGGGATGCAGCGTCGCGCGACGACGATCGTGAGCGTGCAGGACGGGAGACGAGAAAGCCGCACGCGCTGCGAGGTCGCGTCACTGTCAATGTAGGGTTAGGGTTGCAGATACCGCGTCTTGCTCTTGGTTCGGACTATCAAGGCTTACATCCGTTTTCTACGCGGTGATAACGGTGCAGTCTTTCACCATTCCTGCGCATGTTTGCGCCAACATATTGCGCCAACGCTGGCAGAGAGGAACGGTGAGTATCCCGTGACGGTATCGGGCCGTGACTTGCCCCTGTCTAGACACGTATTTCTCACCACGCGTGTTCGGGCTGTAACCAGAAACGTTGCCTTGTCGCGACGGTAGCTTGACGGTAGCCGCGAATCGACAGTGTAACACGTTGGTGAGTCCACATGCACCGCTGTCGATTTTTTCGTGATTTTCTGCGACTGACGTCTTAGCCGGATCTTGATCGGCCGCACAGGCACGCGGAGCGGAACTCCAGTCCCATATTTTAGGACGACCGCCGCCTCGGGCCACCGCCTCTTGTCTCCTTGCCTCTTGGTCTCCGGTATACATGCCTACGCCGACGAAACAGCCCCAGAAGAATGCCTTCGACATCCGTCTCGCAGAGTCCGTGGTGTTCCTCCGCGCAGGAGATGCCACCGGCAGACCCCGCAACATGCAGGCCGACGCCCCTCCTGGCATGCTTCGTGGGCTGCTAACGCTCACGCTCGTCAAGCCGACGAAGATCTCCAGCATTGAAATCGAGTTGGTGGGAAAGACGAGCACAGCCTGGCCTGAAGGTATGTCGCAGAACTGCCGCCGTTCTCTGGGAGTTTCTCACCGCTCTTGCTTTAATTGCAAGGAGTGGGCGCGCGCCGTGTCGAAGTCACCGAGGAGCACGAGATCTACGCACAGTCATACATCCTCTTTCGCGCAGGCTCGGAGACACCGTACAGGAACAGCCGCCGCACGCTCTCCGTGGGCCCTGGCATTGCGCTCGACCGTGATGACGACGACCGCTCCGAATCCTCTAGCGAAGATATGCACGGTACGGTTCACCGGCCGCCCAGTGATGAGCGGAGGGGCCGTGACCGAGGTCCGCCATCGGCACTTCTGAACAACGCATTCGCGTCGAGGCGAAATATGAGCGTCGACCAGACGTATTTCCAGCGTGATTACGTCGCGCACCGCGACAACGGCCTCCCCCCTATATTGACCGCTTCACCCCCTTACACACCGACCGCAGAGACCGTTCCACAACATGCATTCAGTCCGACGCTCCTCACTCCCGCCGCGTCCGTCTCGCATCGCATGAACACCGTCGACGAGCTACCCACCCAGGAGGCTGCGTCGTCTGCGGACGAGTTCGGCCAGGGTCGCAGCTCCGAACCGGACACGGAACGCAGCAGTGGGCCTTTTCACTCGTCCCCGGGTACACGCGTACTGACCACACCGTAGGCCTCGCATCTGCGCGGCACCCGTCTCCTCTTGCCCGGATGGGCGGGTCCTCCGCGTCTAGCCTGCGCCTAACCAGCAGCTCGCACTCGCAATCTGCGCGCCCGTCGCTCGACGACGAGCGCCCCGAGTTCCTCGTCGGGAGTAGCCATAGCCCTCTGCCCACCCCGCCTGCGTCCGCGCCGGCCACGCAGCGTTCGCTCTCGCGTTCGGCCGACCAGCGCAATCAGCGCCATCACCGCGAAGGCTCGTCGGACCTCCGGGAGCACGCGGACGACGGGCGCGGACGGAAGCACAAGCGGTTCAGCTTCGCGAACGTGTCGAATGCGCTGCTGGACGTCGTCATGGACCGTGTGCGCTCACGCTCGCGGTCGTCGTTCCCGGACGGCTACGGAGGCGACGCGACGCCCCCTCGAGGGCGCACGCGCGAGCGTCCATTCGAAGACGTGTTCCACGACGATGAGGAGGGCGCGCCTGCGAGGGACCGCGAGCGCTCTACCCTCGAACGGGTCAGCGAAGTGCTGGGATTAGACGGCGAGGATGGGAAAGAGTGGGGAGAAGGCTGGAAGGAGTTCAAAAAAGGTGAGCATCGCTCCTTACGGCTCGTCTACCCCCGAAGCTCAACTTAGTCCATCTGCGGTCCTGCCGTCGTGAAGGCACGTACACATGGCCGATCTCTTTCGCGATCCCCGCGAGCTCGCCGCCGACGCTGCACTGCGACCTCGGGCACGTGACGTGGAAGCTGAAGGCGTATGCGCACCGGCCGGGGACGTTCACGACGAAGATGTCCGCGGCGCAGGAGATCACGGTCGTTACGTGTCCGTCGGAAGATGACCTCGAGGAGACGGAGAGCATCATCGTCGAACGCCAGTGGGACACACAGATGCAGTACCTCATCACCATCTCTGGGCGGAGCTTCCCGATTGGCGGGGTTATGCCCATCAGCTTAACCTTCATGCCTTGGACGAAGATGAAGATCTACAGAATCTCCGTACTTAGCAGCACCCGAATGTGTGTGCTTTTCGTGGGAAGTACGCGTGGGAGTGCGGCGTGGGGGCGGGGCGGGGATCGTCGCACGGCGGGCGTGGGTGTTTTACGTGCGAGCACGGCGATTGGCTGGCGAGAGACAACGCGACGTTTTTCCCAAGTCCAAAAACGTCCTTTTTTCGGGCATGGTTTCGCCTCCCCGCAGGGAGCTCGCGTGTTATGGGGTGCTGAAACTTTTTCTGCCACGCGCAGACGGGTCCCGGTATGTACATGCTGACGAGACAACAACAAAAAAAAGAGAGGCCCTCTACGCGTCGCACACTGCAACGCGTAGCCCTCCCACCACAGGTGCGTCCCTCTCGTCCGTCGGTCGTCGCATGTACATACACAGTCAATGCCATCTCGTTAAACCCCTAATAGTCTTCGCGACGGTCCCTGTCGATTTGTCAGCACATGCCGCTTGCCAACGCGCGACGGGCGACTCACCAAGTGGAATGGCTCCTCGTGAGCGACTGCGAGGTACGACCGAAGAGTCGACATCGGCCTGTGACGACAGTAGACGGGTCGTTGACGCGCCTCGTCCTCGGACATGCAATTAGTGCCGTCACAAGTTCAGCACAAATGCACACTCACCCGGAAGGACACTAGCGGCGCGCACGACACGCCAGTCTCGGCGCCCTGTCCCTGCGTCAGCATCGGCGAACCAAGAGGCGAGACGGACTGCTTACCGGTCAAAGTCACCCGCTCGCCGGACGGCGATCTGTACATACACCGACATGCACGACGAGGCGACAACTCGGCGGTGCAGCGAGGGAGGGGCAGCACTCGTGCCCCGATCCTGCACGCGCATGTCAGCGGCGACACGGCACGTCATGTCAGTGATATAGTGTCGGTGTCGGATGGACGACATACCTTGCGCACAGCCCGGGATGTCGCTCGCCGGAAGTCGATATATACATACATTGCTGGTCCGGGCACTACAAAGTCAGCGGGTAGAGTTAATCGACGACGCACCCAGTACATGGCCCGAGACGTTGCTCGCCGGACATCGATACATATATACATCGCTGTTCGAGGCGTTGTACATAGCAAGTGCGAGAAGCTCCGCCCAGCGCATATCCCGTCAGAGTCTAATTATCACAATGCATGTTGACACACTTACTAGTCAGTCTCGCAGCCCTACAAGTGCTGCCTTCGTCGTTGCTCATGACTCGTAGCGCATGAACACACGACTACCCGCGCGCCGGTCGGCCGCGGTCACAAGCGGGGCAGCTGAGAACGTCCGGGAGCCTGACAGTGTCGACGTGCTCCCTGTTGTTGGCCCGGATCGTCCTCGGATGACATTAGAAGGACACCCCTGCTGATCGAATGTCAGTCAGTGTCACTGCGAGTATGGATATGGCTACCTACGCACCCTCACGGAGAGCCGCTCGCGGGAAGACGATCCATATATACATTACCATGCATGGCCGACTCGAACAGGATGCATACCGCACGATGGACGCACTCTTCGTTTAACGTTAGTCAGAAGCTACATCAAACAAACATGGGTCAGTGCATCGACGTGGACCGATCGACGTTCACCACGAACCTGGGCGTAATACCTCGCTCGCCGGACGGCGTTCCATATATATATTGCCGTTCCAGGATAGCTGTGGCATTGACTGACCTTGGAACATGTTCATCAAATGCAAGACTTGGGGATCAATACCCCTTGCAACTGATAGCTCGAGTACGGCTCAAATGACAATGTTCATTACCCGACTATGCACATTAATCGGACACGTAAATGGGCTGAGAACGCGATGATCAGTCTATTGCAAGACATAACGGACAACAAGACACCTACAATATGCCAGCCGCAGGATCCTCACGCCGTGGACGACACAGCTCTAACTTGACGTGACAAGTGCTCACTCGCGCCTCGGGTGACACCCGCCTGCGCCGCCATTAGTTGTACTACCAGTACTCCTTTGGCCGAGTATCGAAGGGTGCGACTACATATACACTGCGTGTGAGCACGACCGGCGGCGTGTGTCCTTCAAGTAGTAGTACTCACCTCGTTAGGCACATCAAACGTGGGAGTGCTATAGTATCCTCGTACTACTTCATGCCTGTTGACCTGTGTTCGTTAGTACAGTCATACCGATCGCTGCAACTGACAGACATACCATATGCGGATACGCAACAACCACATGGCCGTTACGAGTCTATGACACTGATACTTGACGTCCGGGGCTGTGTTCGTGAGCAACGCACACTAATGTTAAATGAGAGCACTTACCGGCACACTGTCACTTCGAACGGAGTCCGGACCCTCGGCGGGCTGCATTTCGTCAACTCGGACATGCCAGAATCCTGCATGAGATCAACAGTCTGTTGCATACGTGATTGTAGATTCGCTGACGCACCTCGTTGCTTCAAATAAGCTACATCCGACTCGGAGTCGAGCATGACTTCATGGGTATGGCCACAAGCTGAATGCGAGCCTGAGCCCGTCGCAGTGAGCGCCTAAGGCAGCTACTTAATTGGGAAAGTACTGACAGTTGAGCTTCGTGTGCGCGCTCTTCACTCGATGATGGCAGCTTGTCCACAGCTGTCAGGACACGGATAAATGGTGAGTATAGGTGAAGACGGACAACAGAGGGACTATACTGACCACAGCTATACATACAAGGTCGAATGTTCAAGGGACGGCGGATCGGGATGGTGACGGCGGAGTGATGGTAAGTCGGGTAGTAGACGGATCATGGACGTCGGCAGGCGATCAATGATCGGTGAGGGGAGGAGCATAGTGGGGGCCGGGGGAGTCCATGTCCAGTCTGTGGCGGCCTGCTCACCAGCCCTTATAAGACTGCTCATGCTCGGCTCCTGTAGTACACTGAATGCTGGGATCACATCAGAGCCAGATAGTCTTCGCAATCCCTGCACCGGTGATGTTCGCTTCAAGGCTTGAAAGGTGTGGCGCCACAAATGCGCGCTAATGCCGCCATCTCTTCGGATACCTTGTCCACTCGATCCTGCTCCAATCCTTAGCTTACCACTCACATCTGATTTGAATATGATTCCAGTAGTAGTACGAGTGAGAGATCTCAACACATGCAGATTAAGACTGACATTTAAGCTTAAATCATCTTACTATACTGGTCACTTTCAGCGGACAAGTTCTCAGTCATTCACGGTGCCGAATTGTACTGTCAGACCTCGGTGAATGATACTCACCTGATTCGGCATCCTTGACAGGCTCGCAGTACGGTCACATCGTAGCCCACCTTTTTCGAATCACAAATCAATCAATAATCACTCACTGTTACTCTGTCACAGGTCCTATTGTTTTGTTATGGAGGCTATCAGCCTGTTGACTCGTGAGCTCGTGAAGCGGACAGGGAAAGTGATCACTAATATGGCAATCTGGACATAATCGAGTCGTAGCCTATATACGGTCACATCAGTCGGCGAGGCTCAAAATGTGCTTCAGCACTGCCCACTGGATACCTATGAACGGCGGGGGCCACCTCTGATCCAGCCATGTCCACTGTATTGCACTATTCACATATTATTCTGTCTACTACGATACACCGATACTAGTAGAACGACAAATGCCGGTGCCTCTCAGACTCTGCTTCTGCCATGCCTTCCCGGAGCTTCCGATGCCCGCAAGACAATGATCCTGGCATCATCTCGCGCAGCCGTGTGACCGTGAAATCAATGTCAAAGTCCTCCGCACCTGCACCGCCTGGCGTGAGCATCGGAACCGGAAATGCTGTGACAGTAATATTCACCTCGCCGCTGTGCCAGTGACAGTGACGTGCGGCGCAGGGAGCATCCTTCTCGGAAGCTTCTCTGGAAGCCAGTTGCCTGGCCAGGAAATGACTCCTTCGGCGAAACAAAGGCAATCATTGAGCGTGAGGGAAGAGAGAAGAGGACCAGCGACGAGATATGGCGCTCGCTTACGCATGGACGTCCTCAACGCGGAAGTGGAACCTACGTTTGTGGACTGGCGGCGACTTGTCAGCTGATGAACACGATGAATGGAATCCTGTCCAATCCCTCACACAATTCCTTCACCGACGTGTACTTCCTCCCAGTCGTTTCCCCTCTGTCGGCCACAACAGACCAGGTCCGAGTCGATTGTCCACTTTGCCGACTTGTTTTTACTGTCCTCCTGCATCTTGCCGTAAGACATTCACGACCATGTGCGATCAACGTGCACACGATACCTTGCGGAGTTGCGATTGTGGCCCATCAGTCTGTCTGCGTCTGTGGCGCCCACGAGGCTCCATCACGCCAGACACCGCGTCGCGTTCGCTTCCGTGCACTTGTCCGGAAAAGTGACGGGGACTTGCCCTGCATCACGCTGACGAGACAAAGCGGGCGAGGTATATAGGCGAGCTCACTGTGGACATGAGGGTATCGGTGAGTTGTGCTTCTGTCCGTCCCGAGTGGTGAGAATACTGACCGTGCTTTTCAGACGACCACATACTGTTGAGTCGTGCGCCGTCTGGGGAGCTGTCGGAATCGACGGGAGGGTCAGCATCGTCACATGCCGGCACCGGCAGGAAGCTCTCTCGACTATGGACACCGCCTTTGACTTGCTGACGACCGGACGACCCGTGCAGATCCTCGCCGGCCGCCGCTTCCTTGCCGGGTCGTCTGTAGCGTGGGCCTGGGGTCTTGCGATAGACGGGAGCTTTGCCACGGTATGGTGGACAGGATGCTGGGCTTGCGGCGGGAGACGGAAGTCACGACGCCGTGCACGACAGGGCACACCACGGCATGAACAGCGGATGCGCGGGTATGTACTAGGCAGTCGCCATGAGATGGACTATGACGGTAGCTAGTTGTATGTACCTTCGCACAATGGTCGTCCTGTCTTTCCAGCTACTCGCTACGTGTCTTGCAGTGTCAATGTATTGGGCTGGAATGAACTCACGCATGCTTCTCGTCCCCCAGCGGAGATTGTCCACGTCCGTGTGCAGCGCGACATGAGTCGACAGAGGCATGTAACGTGTCCTTAGAGTCGGAAGGTCACGGTGATGGACACCGAGTAGAGAGTGCCGGAGAGCGTCACTCGGGCAGCTGTAGAGTGAGAGAGCATGTGCATTGTGCCAATGAGCGTCGGTCTGCGTCGGTCAAGGCGCGTCGGTGGCGCGTCACGCGAACCACAACGCTGCTCTGTCCCGTACATCCACCTGCTCGCGCGCCCGCTTGCTCTTTGGTTTCCTCCCAGCCATGTTTCTGCGTCTATATGCGCCCGCGGACAGACGATACGAGCTCATTGTTCTGCCTACACACAGACAGTTGCAAGCCCTCTCCTGCATTTTGACGGGCGGCGAAGATCTCTTCCGGCTAACTTGGCGATATTCAACCCAGTACCCTCCCGCTCGCCCCGCCTCTGTCGCAGTGCATCACGCCGTTTAGGGCCTCTCACTCTCTCTCTGGATGTAGGGCACGCTTGTGGCCGGGCGAACCAGGACTCCCGACTTGGGGTTTCACAGGCACTCTACACTCGCTCTACACGCCTTACCACGCGCACTCCGCTTGTCCCTGACCTTGACAGATCGTGTCAGACAGACTATGAATGAACAAGTCGATTTGGGAGTGCATAGAAGGGCGGAAGTGACGATATGGTCACGGCACCGGTGAGTCTATGCGCCTCTTACGTCTACTATTCGCGCAGAGCCATGCTTCCCTTCGACGTGCGCGGCAAGGGCGAGGCATTCGTCCGCCGCCTCCGCCATCGCTTCGTCAGAGGGGAAACCAGTCTTCCGTCCGTGGCGTTTGCGCGCACCCGGAATGAAGCATGTGTGTCGAACACTCGGTTGTAATGCATGGTGCCATACATTCTACACGTCGACCAGGGGGCCTCTCAGCACTTCGTCGTCGTGCGATCTCGAGCGCGGCCGTCGGGCATACCACCGCCTCCCGCTGCCGAGTCTGCTGCGACATGACACGAGTACCCTCTGCATGTTGATAAGGACACTCGCAGAGCCGGTAGATGGGCATCCCACTGTCTTCCGCGTCGCTGGCAGTACTATGATCAAAGGCGGGTGTTTGGCGCGAATGTACCAGCTAGGACGGATCACATTGCCGGTCCAGCTCCTGACATGTCGTGTGCCCGGGCGATCACATTTTCCAGCGATGTCAACGGGGACAGTAACGGTCCAATCTGCGGGGATCGATCTTTCATGCCTTGTATGTCTCCGTAGAAGGCATGACAGAGTTCAGGCGGGACATGCGTGGCGGTCCGGCGACTGTCATCGGCCCTGACCCGAATTCTAACTCTTGTCGGGCACGCTATTGACTATGTGTATCGAAGACGCGCGCGCGCGATCTCGCTACTGCGATATAGTGCATACAGGCACGCGAATTGCGATGCATAACGCCGGCAGGTATGCACTTGCTGCTGTAACAGCAAGGCTTGCTATCCCAGCGAGCAGATTCATTGCGTCCTGCGCATAGCAGGACGTACATCGTGGGAATGCATGTCTGCTTGACGGCGGAGTCGATGCATACTT